TCCTTCACATTCCGACATGTAATAAATGTGTTAACAAAAGGAGAATCCTACCCAAGTGTTGAACGTCCTAACGATATAGCACCAAGTACAATATCCCTAGGTGACGTTCATGCTGCAATCATTGGTGGTGGGGGAGGGGCTCATATTCAAGATGGTGCGGTACACAAACTGTCCTGCCCGACGGCAGATGGTGATGGGGAGATGGTAGGGAGAGATGGGGAGATGGTAGGGAAAGATGGGGAGAGATGAGCAACCGCCAGACACGGGGTTCAAGTGAGCAGACGAGAGGCTGACACCACAAGTTATCAGAGTTCAAATCTCACACCGACCAACATCATGCTCGACACGGTCTGTGCTCCTTCATACGTCACAGGGGCAGGGATGGGAATACGGGAAACACGTGACTTTGTGTATATCAATAATAGAGTAATACAATTGTTCATCTCAATATGTACGTATGCATATATATATATATATATATATATATATATATATATATATATATATATATATATATATTCCGCCCATAATTTCAGATAAAGGAGAATGGGTCCCGATACGTTTGGTAGAAATTGACACAAGATAATCAGTATGGTTTACAAGCATGTCGTGTTGATTATAGAATGGTTGAGTCATCGACCCGTTGTAGCCTTGGGTCTACGGTATTTTTAAAATGGCAGACAATTAGAGTTATTCCCCCTCCCGTAAAGTCGGACATGTTTGTTTACCTAAAGTTGACACTAATCACTAATGCTATTTTTGTTACGGAATAGGATTAATGAAGATAAAGAGGATTATATAGACGATTATTGTACCCAGTAGGTAATTTCAATGAAATCTAAACAACTTCCAATGGAGTTAAAAGATTGTTTTTAAGTGAATAGGCTATTTAATTTTTGTAAAGTTAAAATTGTTAATACACTTGAAATTGTGTTGCAATCACGTTTTTTTTTCTTCAATCAGAAGCAGACATAGACCCAATGATCAATAGGCCACTGTCTGTTTCTGTGGGTTGTCCTCCCTTCTCACACTCTATACAGTTTTAGGGTGAAAACAAAACTTTAAAAACATCTTTAAACATCAACAACCAATGAGAAATGTTATCTGAACTTCCTTAGGTTGGGTAGGCGGATCTTTCCTCTATTTGAATACATGAGTTCCTATTTGTTTTGTTCGTGCACTAAATAGTGTCAAGTATAAAACGTGAATGTGTCTTTTAGTGACCTAATCGTCATCAAACTAGACAAAAATCAGCAGTATGTATCGAAACTTAGAGATATGCACGAAAATAGAACTTCAAATCGCAATAGGGTAACTCACCATATTAGAAAATTAAAAGAACATACCTCCAAATGTTAATATAAAACTGTCCAGCCTAATGTAAAGCATGGTAGATCATTTAAAGAAAGTAATCAAGGGACTGATTCCACTTTTTAATTGCAGTGATAAGATAAAATGTTGGGTTTTTCGTAATAAAACGTAATGGACTTGGGAGAAAATTGAATGGCATTTGTTACTTTCTCACACTGGCAGAATTTTGTCTTCACAGACTTTTTTTCTCCAACTGTAGGCAGGCTTTTTTTCTCCAACTGTAGGCAGACTTTTTTCTCCAACTGTAGGCAGACTTTTTTCTCCAACTGTAGGCAGACTTTTTTCTCCAACTGTAGGCAGACTTTTTTCTCCAACTGTACGCAGACTTTTTTCTCCAACTGTAGGCAGACTTTTTTCTCCAACTGTAGGCAGACTTTTTTCTCCAACTGTAGGCAGACTTTTTTCTCCAACTGTAGGCAGACTTTTTTCTCCAACTGTAGGCAGACTTTTTTCTCCAACTGTACGCAGACTTTTTCTCCTACTGTACTTAGACTTTTTTCTCCAACTGTACTTAGACTTTTTTCTCCAACTGTAGGCAGACTTTTTTCTCCAACTGTAGGCAGACTTTTTTCTCCAACTGTATGCAGACTTTTTTCTCCAACTGTATGCAGACTTTTTTCTTCAACTGTAGGCAGACTTTTTTCTCCAACTGTTGACAGACTTTTTTCTCCAACTGTATGCAGACTTTTTTCTCCAACTGTTGACAGACTTTTTTCTCCAACTGTACGCAGACTTTTTTCTCCAACTGTAGGCAGACTTTTTTCTCCAACTGTAGGCAGACTTTTTTCTCCAACTGTATGCAGACTTTTTTCTCCAACTGTATGCAGACTTTTTTCTCCAACTGTACGCAGACTTTTTTCTCCAACTGTAGGCAGACTTTTTTCTCCAACTGTAGGCAGACTTTTTTCTCCAACTGTACGCAGACTTTTTTCTCCAACTGTACGCAGACTTTTTTCTCCAACTGTAGGCAGACTTTTTTCTCCAACTGTATGCAGACTTTTTTCTCCAACTGTATGCAGACTTTTTTCTCCAACTGTAGGCAGACTTTTTTCTCCAACTGTTGACAGACTTTTTTCTCCTACTGTATGCAGACTTTTTTCTCCAACTGTTGACAGACTTTTTTCTCCAACTGTACGCAGACTTTTTTCTCCAACTGTAGGCAGACTTTTTTCTCCAACTGTAGGCAGACTTTTTTTCTCCGTCCAACTGTAGGCTGAATTTTTTCTCCGACTGTCGGCAGACTTTTTGGAAGACTACCACTGTTGCCTTGTTGTCATTGAAATATGTAATCGATATCTCACATGTTGCTGCAAATAATTACTGTAATCGAAAGCCTAAAATGAATTTACATTACCTTTTTTTTTTAAAAAAAGTAACTCTAATCCTAAACTCTAATACCCCAAAGGTAACCCAAACCCAAATATAACCCCAGCTTGTCAAAACCAGTATTACATTATTTTTTTCGCTCGCGGAAACGCTAAGTTTGTTTTGTTCAGTGGGTCATTGTTTACCCTGTTGTTGCGCAGGTCTATGTTTGCGCCGGTGTAACACCTCGCCGGTCAATGGAGTCGAAGGTCCGAACTGGCCACGGGCGTGTGCGATAGACCGTGGAGCTCTAATCATTGCACGCTCTTGTCTGTCCGGTGTCTTCACACTAACTGTGACTACCCGATTCAGTTGTAATTAGGATAAAATTTTAACCCCCTCGTATCTGATAGCGCACCGGAGCTGGCGGCTCAAGTTAGTCTTTTCCCAAGCTTCTCTGGGCTGATACAGTGATAGCGCGAGAGAGATCCCCTCGGGGGGCGTTGGCTAGTAGGTGGTCACGTCACGGGGACAGTACTCTAGGGTGGAAAGATAGGGGAGATAACGCTAGATACACGGAGAATATTCAATATCTACAACACTATCTGTGTGGAATCTGTGGTTAGGTTAAAGAAGGAAAATGTTTACTTTCTATCTGGCTATTGCGTTTTTATTTATTTCCAGCGGATTGGTTTAGAAGGGATAAAGAGAGTAGTGTTAATATACGAGTTATTTCCCTTGTGTTGGCTGAGAAAATAAGACTGGGGATTTTCTCCAACGAATGCTAAGGGCAACGGTTGTTAAAATACTTCATAGAACTTGTGCATAAATTAATTAACTAAGAATGACAAAATCTATGTACAATTTTTGTGTTCTCAGGATTTCATAAAAGTGAAAATATATTTTAACCATTGAAGTTAAACTATCTCAACCACTACAGTAAAGTTAAACCAGCTTACCCACTACACTAAAGTTAAACCATTTCAACCAATACACTATAGTTAAACCATCTCAACCGCTACACTAATGTTAAACCATTTTACCATTAAACTACACGTCTACACTTTTAATTAAAAGCCAGTCAATGCTGATAAACAAGAAGAATTCAAAGTTAGCTGAAGACCTAATTAAACTAATCTGTTTAGTTTTCTTTCCCTATCTTTACCCATTTACTATTCATACACAAAAGTCATTTCAACAGGATTTTATAAATTTTATTTTACTTGGTATTCAAAAAATCATTTTAAAAAATAATATTCACTTTAAAAAAACCCGGGCTCCTAGCTCCTGTCATTAACTTTATCAAAGCAAAAAGATCCGGCTGAGATAGGCTGTGGGTACACCCGCACACAAACTTGGGTGATTTATTGCCGGCCATCAAGGTCTAGGGCCGGGGTTTTATCACACCGCCATCACAGTCCTACCTACCTCTAGCAGGATCATCGGTTGTACTTGGTGAGGTCATTTTATGCAGGTAAGGGGGGGGGGTAGATTTGGTCATTACTTGCAGGGGGGGGGGGGGATGCGGCCATTATTCAAAGCGTTATTCTTGTCTATGCCCGCTATCGCCGGGCAAGAAAGGCCACTCCAAAAGGATTTGCCTCTTTTATCTTTCGGCTCTTGGTCGTGCTCGTGATAATTATCTGTACTAATTGTTATCGTTGAGGTAGGTATTAGGGCAGCACAACACGCTGGGAGGGTTGAGGTAAGGATTAGGGGAAGAATTACGATCAGAGTTTCTTCCAGGTATCTCTTCGGGAGGGGGGTGAGGTGAGCCGCCCCCCCCCCCCAGAGGAAAGTCTACCGCCCCCACCCCACCCACCCCCCGAACACAATGGAATTAATATAGAAACAATATACTTTTACTAGTGTCTGTACGCCCCCCCCCCCCCCCCCACCGGGGAAAAAAGTGAAAGAAATACTGATTACGATGGGAGGGTTGGGATTAGTGGAGCGTAGGGTTGAGGTAAGGATTAGTGGAGCATTACGGTGGTGGGGAGGGGGGGGTTGTTGCCTCCGCTACTGGAGTTAAGGGAAGACTATGGGAGGGGTAGGACACAGTAGTTGGACGAGATTCAGTGAACTCTTTTTTAAAGTCTTAAACAAAAACTATAACTAAATTAGCTTTGCCGCATTTACAATACTTGAACATGAGGGGAAAAGGGGGTTGCAAATAAAGGACTAATTGCAAAATAAAATATTCAAAAATTATTTTCAAATACGTGTTGCAACCTCATATTTTATAACAAAATATAGAATGTTTCAGAATAACTATACAGCATTAATTTTTAATGTAAAAATAAAAAGTAATTTTAAAATCCTACCAGTGATACCTCGCCTCACCATGTAGTATTCACATTTTTGAGCAGGATAGAAATGGCACTTAAAATCCATTGCACAACATCACCAAAATGGGCCTAGTTACATCAGCACTTACATTTAAAATTGAAAGTTGATGGCGAAAAATTGCAAAACAGACGAAATACCACCCACGTGATCTGACTGTAAGTCACTCAACCGTTGGGATAGAAACTTGGTTGACTCACGCACAAGGAGGAAATTCCCCTCGATTGGAGTTTCGTTTTAGGGTGAGATCTTCCACGAAACATGTCAACAATCCACGAGGGTAAACCAGTGGCTGAGTTATGCAACTCGGGTATAGGAGGGTGACAAATATAAACAGGTCTTTAAAAACATTCTAGGCTGAAGAAGAAAAAACTATTTGAAACGGTATCATTTTTAAGGCGCAAACACAAAGCATTTCCGGTGTATTAAAGAGATATTGTATAATGAAGATCATGAAAACATGTTTTTAACTGGGCCAAAGTTTATATTTGAAGTCAAGGATTCATTCGCATGCAACTCAAGTCAATGACAGACTAGCATAAAGCGCAATTCAAGGATAGATTCATATTCAGCTTTAATTAATGATAGATTCATATTCATCTTTAATTAATGATAGATTCGCACTCTACCTAAATCAATGAAAGATTCGCGTACGATTAAAATCGATGACAGATTCACATTTAAGAGGGCAATGTCATACATGAAAGAGGACAACTGTACTAAGGAGCATACAACGACTGCATGTAATTGAGTCACTTGTGCTATCTCACTTGGATGTAGTGGCCGTGACCACATCCACGGCCGTTGTGTGGATCACTATCAAAGGTCAAGGTAACAGCTGAGGCCTCTTATCTTGGAGTAATGTGCTACCAATCCTTACTTTGACAATGTAATATTACGTTATAGTTCCGCTCCTTTCTGACTTTGATCTGTGCAGTAGCTATGCCGTGAGGTCAAATATTACAAGCTTTGACATAGCTCACAAAGTCAAGACCACCGGTTTGTGGTCAGATCTTGTAACTCAATTGTGACCCACTTCAAATGCAGCGACTTTTTTCAAAGTATCCCGATAAATCGTTGCCGATGACAGAAGAAAGATCATTATATCTCCAATATAATTAGAGGCCTATATAAAATTTATCATTAAAATTAATTTAAAAGAAAGATCAATTTAATTTTTTAGACAGGGGAGATAACCCAGTGTCGATGAACGATTGTATCTAATTATGAGTCAGACATATTGTCAGTACATCCATGCCCAACTTCGTTATGTCCAAACAAGCAGTACGACAAAATTGTGGTTGTAGATCATCTTGGTGGTGGTGAAGTTAGTTAATACAGGGACATACGATATAATTGTGGTTGTAGATCATCTTGGTGGTGGTGAAGTTAGCTAATTCAGGGACATACGATAAATTGTGGTTGTAGATCATCTTGGTGGTGGTGAAGTTAGCTAATACAGGGACATACGATAAATTGTGGTTGTAGATTATCTTGGTGGTGGTGAAGTTAGCTAATACAGGGACATACGATATAATTGTGGTTGTAGATCATCTTGGTGGTGGTGAAGTTAGCTAATACAGGGACATACGACAAAATTGTGGTTGTAGATCATCTTGGTGGTGGTGAAGTTAGATAATACAGGGACATACGATATAATTGTGGTTGTAGATCATCTTGGTGGTGGTGAAGTTAGCTAATTCAGGGACATACGATAAATTGTGGTTGTAGATCATCTTGGTGGTAGTGAAGTTAGCTAATACAGGGACATACGATAAATTGTGGTTGTAGATCATCTTGGTGGTGGTGAAGTTAGCTAATACAGGGACATACGATATAATTGTGGTTGTAGATCATCTTGGTGGTGGTGAAGTTAGCTAATTCAGGGACATACGATAAATTGTGGTTGTAGATCATCTTGGTGGTAGTGAAGTTAGCTAATACAGGGACATACGATAAATTGTGGTTGTAGATCATCTTGGTGGTGGTGAAGTTAGCTAATACAGGGACATACGATATAATTGTGGTTGTAGATCATCTTGGTGGTGGTGAAGTTAGCTAATACAGGGACATACGATATAATTGTGGTTGTAGATCATCTTGGTGGTGGTGAAGTTAGCTAATACAGGGACATACGATAAATTGTGGTTGTAGATTATCTTGGTGGTGGTGAAGTTAGCTAATACAGGGACATACGATAAATTGTGGTTGTAGATCATCTTGGTGGTGGTGAAGTTAGCTAATACAGGGACATACGATAAATTGTGGTTGTAGATCATCTTGGTGGTGGTGAAGTTAGCTAATACAGGGACATACGATAAATTGTGGTTGTAGATCATCTTGGTGGTGGTGAAGTTAGCTAATACAGGGACATACGATATAATTGTGGTTGTAGATCATCTTGGTGGTGGTGAAGTTAGCTAATACAGGGACATACGATATAATTGTGGTTGTAGATCATCTTGGTGGTGGTGAAGTTAGCTAATACAGGGACATACGATATAATTGTGGTTGTAGATCATCTTGGTGGTGGTGAAGTTAGCTAATACAGGGACATACGATAAATTGTGGTTGTAGATTATCTTGGTGGTGGTGAAGTTAGCTAATACAGGGACATACGATAAATTGTGGTTGTAGATCATCTTGGTGGTGGTGAAGTTAGCTAATACAGGGACATAACATAAACAATGTGTGGGATACCATCAGCAAGGGAAGCCAAATTATGGGAGTACTAACAATAGGAGAAAGGGATATTTAGAAAGAGAATTATGGGGAGCACCAGCTATTGATAAATATAATACTATGAAGCACATTATGCCACATTAGCGGGGAATGAAGGCGTCGCATGGCAACATTTCTAACAAATAAACTACAACAGGAGTGAATTTACATGTAATATTTGAAACCATTGTTTGAAGTCTAAATCAACATAACGAAAACAGCGTCAGTTTTACCTAACGAAAAATTTATGTTTAGAGAGTTCTAAAGCAATTCAGACACGCGTAGCAACAAAGAATTTCACAACGTCATTTTTTTTTTAGGAAATTAACATTTTCCTACTTTGGTCAAGCAAAAGTAGCATATTAGGGTGAACAACTTGAATGATCTCCAAACACTTGGACCCTAATAATAAACAGACACGACATAAAAAAAAAATCATAACCGAAATTGTCCTTGACTCGGATGTAATATTTTTTTCGTGTAAAAGTTACATAAGCTCTGCCACTAACCGGTTACGAGAAGAAAAAAATATTACAACTAAGTCAAGGACAATTTCGCTACACTTTTTTGAAAAACATTCTTTAAACCCAATAAATATTTCATCCTGAAAATATTAAAAAAAAAAAAATTGAAGAAGATCAGCCAAGCATGTTCCAACCTTCGTAACACAGAAGAGGGCTCTCGAGTCAAGTGATTGTACAACTGCAGATCTTGGAGCTTCGTATCACCAATGCCATACGCAAGTGGAAATCAGTTTCAAGTGTACGATGATCCAAGTTTCGATATCTCTGGTTTCCTTTGTTGTGTTTCATCTTCCTTGTTCAAAGTAGGGTCAACGCCTAGTCTCCAAGAACAATTACAACTCAAGTGTTGAATTCAACTTTGATGGGTTAGAAACATTTATTTTTATAACCTATGCACTTATATTGGGATGACCTTCCTATGATTAAAATCGGACGAGGGATGAGGGGGAAGGATGGATGGAGATTGGCCGTCAGTCTATGAAATGGTATTTTCTACCCGTGTACGCAGTGAAAGAGAAAATGTTGGCACTGTGGGTCAGCTCACCACAAGATCTAACAGTAACAGACAGTAGTGTAGCGAGGGGGGGGGGGGGACATATGTCCCCGGGCGCCGACCTTAGGGGGCGCCAAAATGGGTTGGAAAAATAAATTGAAAGGTTGAGGGGGGTGTAAATTGAAAGTTTGAGGGGGGGGGTGTGCAAATCGAAAGTTTGAGGGGGGGGGGGGGTGCAAATCGAAAGTTTGAGGGGGGGGGGGGGGTGCAAATCGAAAACTTGAAACTTTGTCCCTGGGAAGGGTCTCTATGCCTCTGGGGGGGTGACACCATTAAGTGCCGCACCGGGTGACACCCGACCTCGCTACGCCACTGTATATATATATATATATATATATATATATATATATATATATATATATATATATATATATATATATATATATATATATATGCCTATACATTAATACACACACACACGCTTATCAAATCACTACGTAATAGAGTGACTAAAATTTTGTATAAAAACAAGAAATAACTACTTGATTTCCACTTGAAAATTTGTAAAATCAATCCGTGAAAAAAAAACATATTCTCCGGGAATTTCTATACAATAGGTGAGCGGTCAAGACTAGAGGGAACTTTTTGGGGAAAATACGGTAGTTAATTATCTCAGGCAAGTGGATACAAGGATTGGGGTTATAGGAGAGGATGTTATAAGGACTAGGGTTAGGGGTGGGAGTGGGGGGCTGGCTGTGTCCAGAGGTGGAATGGCGCGCCAGTCTACTGGGAAATATTCCGGTGGGTCCCCAGGAAAGGTGTTGTAATAGTCCTATTAGTGGTTCAATTTTTAAAAATAATTTGTTGGTAATTCTCCTTTTTATCATTAGATACCCATCATGCTAAGGCGGAAGTTCCGGTTTTAAAAAGAGAAAAAAAAATGCAACATAAAAATTTCCAAGCGCTCCTTGTACACAGCCAATCCACTGCTGCTTGTGTCTACTTGTGGCGTTAAACGTTGAACTACCACCCCCTGTCAATATTGATACTTCAGTAACAACGTCAGCTTCCTACCAATCTACTTGTTCTAACTTTGACGGCTTTTTTTTTTGTTTGGATTTTTCGATACTTTCCCCATGAAGATTTTCTTAAAATTTTTTGTCTGATAATCAATAGTCTATTTATAGATTGATCCGAATCGATGACTTGGTACAGGCTATCAATCAACCAATCAGTCCAATGACCACGTGACTAAGATGACCAGCACTTGAGTGAAAGCCAACAGGCCCGGGCGAGACAGAGATAAAGCAGCCAATCGAACGCGTGCACTTAGACGAGTCGAGTGTCTCGAAGGATCTGATTGGTTATCTTTTCCAGATACCACCACGGTGATGTTACTATCAGAGCTCTACTGAACCTCATCCAATATATCCCAACATATCAGAACACTACTAAACCTCATCCAATATATCCCAACATATCAGAACACTACTAAACCTCATCCAATATATCCCAACATATCAGAACACTACTAAACCTAACCCAGCACACC